CAAATACGGAACCCATTCGAAGCGGGTCATTATGCAAATACCACACCCATTTGACGCACAAGGTGTTCATTCCATCAATGTAATGCATCATTCGTTGGTGGTGGAGCTTCCTCGCATGTGGGAAGTCAGTGACCCCCATCCCTAAAAGGAACGCGGACTCGTTGAAGGAAAATGGTATACATTCTTTGCAAGCGAAACGAAATATTCACCTGTCCACTTGAAATCAAATGAGCCGGCCGTATAAAGCCACCAAACACAAACCTCACATCTTGAGAAAATCAAGCAAATGAGTTGCACATGTTCACAACTTCTTTCAATTCAGTGATCTCTTCCCCAAGGTGGAAGCTGTGTGTCTGTCTTGTATCTAGTCGTTTCACAAGCTACACAGAACCAGCAGGTTCCAATTAAATATTACAGTAGTCTGACTAAGTCCCATCAACTCAAAAATTTCGGCGCTGAAAAACCCACAGGTCCCTTTGCCCAGCGGCCAATCGCCAGTGTGATGGCCTTTTCCTCCTGGTGGGCGGGACGACTAGGGAAAGGCAACGAGAGTCCTAGGGGGACTAGAGAGAACCAGCTGATCCAGGACGAGAGTCTTCAGAACATGCCTCTCGGTGAAGAACCACCCAGATCGAGTCAATCGAGGTTTGTTTCAGTCTGACGTAAGGCCAAGGTGATTGATCCTGAAACATGCCTGGTGGTTTGACTCCGGATCATCTTCCGAAATCCACCTGCAACACCCTGCAACTAAAGATCTTAAGATCTGTTTATAGAAACATAAGCTAAGCATTGCCAACCTTAGTTTAGGCACAACCTTTCTACACATGCCATTGCTTCAAGAAGTATGGTAGCAAAGAGGGATACAGGATGCAAAGAACAACACACACGTACTCACACTCAGCTGCAACGTCTCTTTGGCTCTTCTCGGTGAAGGAAACAAAGATCAGTGCCCTGCATGGCACATCAGTGCTCCGGTTTCTGCACGTCGCACCTGCTTGATGAGTCGCACCACAGCTCCCTTCTGCTTGGGCGAGACCCGGCAGCAAATCACCTGACAACCGCCGTGGCACACTGGAAACAATAGAATACACAGAGTTTAAGACATGTTAAGACACGTTGATGTTCAACCAACGACGGGGAAGCGATGCTGAGTCGCACCGTCCCAATTCGAACACCGGAGTTGCGCGAGTCTGACGAAGGACTCCAGGCGATTCGTGCGACGGGGAAGCGATGACACTCGGGAAGAGGCCCACATGGAACGAAGACATGGACCAGACTGGAAGACGATTTTCGGAATACCAACCCGTGTTTCTTTCAGGTGTCACAGGTCCTGGCTTGGGAATTTTTTGAGGGTGTCTAGGTATAGTGCAGTTTCAACCCAAATCCTTCGGTTCAAAAGTTGACAATCTCCTATGTTGCAAAGGACACTACAAGGCTGCAAAGTCTGGACGTTGACCCGTTTGATCATCTTTCCTGCCATGACTGCGAAATGGACCTGCAGAAACACGCACCACGTCGTGTGCCTCTGCAGAAACCACGCACCACGTCCATCCAGCTCTGCGGTTCCCATCCGAGGCACCGTGGTACAGTTCCGGCAAATCGCCACGAAGTCCTCCGGCGACCGATGTCGGTCGCCCGCGGTTTGGAGTCGCAAAAAGAAACCAGCCAAACGCCAGGTAAGCGATCGAGATCTGGCCACCAAAACCGCCACCCTGGAATTTTGATTGGTTGGTGCACCAGAACTTGTTCATAAAGAACGGTTCATTCCTTATGAGCATATACACCCCAACAACTTATGAAACATCAAGGTAGATCCCCTTCAAGCCACCGGAGGTCTGAATCTGTGCATCGGCATCCACGGATGCGTCGCAACAACTGCTGTAGCAACCATTCTGTTGCGTGGCACTTGTTACTACTAGCAAACATTGTTACTACTAGTAAGGCACCTGTTACTACTAGCGTGGCACTTGTTACTACTAGCTTCTTGTTACTACTAGTAAGGCACCTGTTACTACTAGCGTGGCACTTGTTACTACTAGCGATGCACTTGTTACTACTCAGCTTTCCTGATCAATGATGTTCCATCACCACCCGCGTTGCCGGCCGCCTGACACCTCGTACCGCTCGTCTGACACCTCGTACCGCTCGTCGCACGGTTCCCTCGCGTGCCTTCTCGTTCTGCGGCTCCAGGGCCACTTCGAGGCATTTGCCATCGATGACCATGCCTTCAAACATCCGCTTCCTCGGCTCCAGCTTCATCACAAACAGTTGTTGGTGGAACAGGATTTATGGTGGGTGGAGGGGAAGTGAGGTCTTCCCCTATCTCATCACACCCAATACCACTAAACTAAATAGACACTTCATTATGAAATCTCATTTGATGGGAAAGCTTGGAGCCGAAAAAAGGCACCCCAAAAACCGAGCAGTCCGCAGCGATGTGTGAGCGGAGATCTCATTCCGGTCGAGAATTCTGCCACCGGCCTGCTGTCCGCAACAGCCAAAGCATTCTCTACCCCGACTTCATCCGACTTCACAGGTCACCACAGAAGAGACTTGTACTTGATTCGTGCCAACACCTCCAGAGACCTGATGGAAGGTGATGGAGATACTTTCACTGACTGGGGAGGTGGACCAGTCCAAACCTATGCAATCTTACACCCTCTATCCCAGGATGATTTTCACAACTGCTTGGTGGTTCACTCTTCAGCTGACAAGATGCTCTGTGTAGGCCCGTCTAGCCTGCGAAGCGTCCAGGTCAGACTGGTACACCGATACACTGTTGAACGGGCCATCCAATGCTTGCGTGACAGTGACAATAACTTTTCACAAACAACTTCCAAACGTCACGCAGTCATACAAAGTTGTCGGTTTCACACTAGCACTTCTTGACAAGTGTCCACAACACAAGATATGGATGGATATGGGTTGATTCAAAGTTCAAGATGAGCTTCGAGAAGTATAGATAAAGTAGACGAAGCCCCGCTTAATATCAACTCCCGAAAGACACGCCCAGGCCCATATCACAATGATCCTGTGTAGTTCTCTCAAACATTGGCTTATTCATCAAGACTTGGGCACCAACAACAGCCCAAAACAAGTTGATGTCCGAGACCATGGTGACCAAACATGCTTTCTTCTCCACTCAAAAAACATGTTGGTACAGTGATTGCACTTTGTTTGGTTGAAGCAAAACGCTGGTGGATTGGCAGCTCAGCTCCGAGATATCCCCAATCCTCAGCCACAAGAAAGAAAATTATCTCACTGCACCACCAAAGAGTGGTGGACCCTCATAGGCCCGCAACGAATCGAAACTGGGAGGCGATGCTGGGCACGAGAAGAGAAGCCTTGGAACATCGAACTCTTTGTCCTTCCAACCCGCCGAATTGGCCTGGTCCGCAACGGCCCGAAGCTTCTTCTGCAGCTCCTGGATCGAGCGCTCGATTCGTGACCCAAGTAACAAAGGTCTATACGGTCTATATATGGTACAAGAGATCGTAGTGAAGGGTTCTCGTTTGAAATCTGGAGGTCTGGAGGTTGACACCATGTTCGCGACCTTGGTCATTTTGTCGTTGTTTTCGTGCCCGTTTCGCACCCAAATCGCGGACACTTTGGGTCGATGTCGATGATGTTGTGGTGTTTGGCACCACTTTGGGTCGATAATTTGCTGCCACTCAGAAAATGTTTTTGAAACGCTCGTTTTGCGGGTCTGGTGTATTCCGGCATGTATATAGAGGCTATTTGCTGCCATAGACCTACTGTAGCTTCGTCCATCTTCCAGGGTATATCGGTGAATGAAGGTTTGCCTTTCTCATTCTAGTCATGTTTAAACAAAACAAAATCCATGGTAGCGCCGCCTGAAACAACAAACATACTGTACATTTCATGCATGCATAGTATATTGATTCATAGTGGTTTTAACCTGGCGACCTTTGACTATTGGGAGGTTCAAATACATTTACATGTTTGATCATAGAGAATTCTTATAATATCTTATGTTATCAATCAACCTTTCAGGATCGAAGGCCAAGCAGGCGAACATGTCCCTCCTCGAAGTGGAAGTTCCCTTCGATCTCGAAGTCTGCACTGGAGAACCTCAAACGATGCGTCCGCGGACCAGTCCAATGCGCTACGACTGGTGGACTGCTTGGATGTGCTGTCCAAGACCGGCCCTTTCAGGTAGCAAAGAAGAGGCCCCAATAGGGCCCCAATAGGTTCACAGTGTCACAAGCGGCGTCACTGTCCAAGCTCTATCTTGGATCTTCTTCAAAAAAAAGCGCGGATACCCAGCGGTCACCTCTCGATACTTGAAGGCCGACTCCAGGTGATCGACTCAAGGGCTGGGCATGTAGACCCCAGGTGTTCCAAAAATGAAAGGAATACATACCCTGCAGGCTATGGTGGTCATGTCCAGCTCTGGGTCCGGTGTCAGGCCGGGCGCTCCGTGAGAGAACTCTCCCGGTCGTGCGTTTGGAGCATACAAGATGCAATTCTGGAACCCTCCAAACTGCATACCAGGACCCTCCTGGCCAGGCTGTTTGAAGACTCTAACAGGTGGTTTCTGGACACCGGACTTGTCACCAGGAAACACCTGTTGGAGGGAATTCTTCCGGCTCCAAATCCCCACTGTGTCGCACAGACTGCCACCCTCTGAAGTACACTAGACGCTCTAGCATCGCATAGTGTGACCCTGCAAAAGCGTACAAAAACTGGATGTAATTTTCCCATGTCCCAATCATGTCTATATAAACGTTACTCAAAGAACCGATGTTGGCTCCAGGTACCCTGGGTATCTCTGGGTGACAAACCAAGAGCCAAGCTGCATGGGGCGTTCTGCCTTCCCCTGCTCAGCAGCTAGCAGGCCGGTCGCCACACCGATGTTGATGGCTGTTTCCTGAGCTTTTTGGGTCCGGCAGAAACGCACGTGGGGAGTTCTGGGAGTTTCCTGTTCGCTTTTCGGCGGTCCACGTCTACGCGTCCGTTGGTCCCTCCACGAACGCGAATTCTTTCAGTCTTTGGGCCGCAGAAGTCAGGACACCACGCAGTTGGCAGCAAACCTTGGACTATCTTCAGCAACAAGAAACACACGGGAGAAAGAACGCCGACAAATATACATGCCAATTATCATACCGACAAACAATGATGGAAATGAGACCATCTTTGTATTTGACGTTGGGAAACAGCTGCCCAAATTGGCAATCACATGCAAGAGACCTGTGCAAGAGATGTAAGTAGTCCAGCTGCCCATTCTGCGTCGCCAAGTGCAAAGCAGTTGCAGCCTCACTTTGCTTGGAGGCCAGCTGTTCATTTACCAACTGCACAACAGCTGCCACCTCGCGGGTACTTCGTTTTGCTCCAGCTTGGATCAGCAGCTGGATGACCTTCTCATGGTTTCTCTCGGTGGCCCAATCTAGAGCCGTGGCCCCTGATTGCGTCACATGGTCCTGAAATTCCAGAAAGGCCACGACAAGGGTGTGGATATGACATGTATGACCCTCGCACCGCCAACATCAGCTGACTCACCACCAGAATGGACATGAATGGACTAAAGAGATGACTAAGGTCAACCAACTCAATGGCTGAATCTCATTGGTTCGGGCTGAGCAACTTAAGGAGGTCCAACAATTACTATGTTGCCCACATTTGAGGTTCTTCTGTCAACAAAAGAAGAGTCACAACTAAAGTCTGCCAATCAACTCCAAGAGATCTTTATGGGCCCTGGCCTCTAGCAACAGCTGCAGAACTTCTGAGTGTCCATGATCCGCTGCCAAGTGCAGGGCGGAGGCTCCGTTGATTGGCATGGTTTCATCAATCTGAGCCCCAGCTTTTAGCAATCGCCGCGCAACGGCCATGTGGCCATGTTCAGCTGCCCAATGCAGCGCTGTCTTCTCACCTCGCACATGGTTGACGTCACAAAGAGCCTCGATCAAGGCATCCACTATATCCAGGTATCCTTTCAAAGATGCCCAATGCAAAGCTGTTACTCCACATCCCTCCACTCGATTTGCGTCAGCTTGAGCCTCCAGCAGCAAACGTACCACCTGCACATGCCCATTTGAAGCCGCCAAATGCAAAGCTGATTCACCAGTGAGCGAGATGATCTTGTCTCTATCTGCTCCAGCCTGTAGCAACAAATGCACCACTTTCCAATGGCCCATCACAGCTGCCAAATGCAAGGCTGTCCCGCCTCTGCTTGCTAAATAAAGCGAGAACCCCAGTGGCGTACGGCTGTGCTCGCGCAACGTGGTGATATCACTTGTGCAGTCGTCAGGGTGAGTGCCTTTGTCCAGAAAAAAACGTACAACCTCAATGTGGCCATAACAAGCTGCCCCATGCAAAGCTGTTGCACCAAGTCCCGTCTTTGCTCCGGACTCCAGCAAGAGTTGCACCACTTCCAAATTGCCTGGGCAATGAACCGGACACGACCTAGGATCCACTGGTTAGCAACTTAGCAACAACATGTTAGGATCCACACTCTTTGGAATGTGATGCGTGTGTTCTAACAGAAACGGTGCTTGGTGACCAGGCCTTATTACCCCACATGCCGCCACCTTCAAAATCCCTGCAAGTGGCATGTTCCCACAAGGCTGTGGACATGGAATGCGCTGGCTGTTCTGATTGTATTGGCTTTATCATATGAAAAATATGATATATGCATAATATAAAACTAATATATACATACATAGTATTTGTTGCCACGTGGACACGCTAACTTTGGAACCTGCCCCCAGTCCGTGCCTCCACAAGCCGCGAGAAGTAATGTGGAGCCAAAGTCTCCCTCTTGGTCTATCACTGCTCTGGCCTCAAGCAAGAGGCCTACACACTTGCAATGTCCAGCCTCCACAGCAACCCTCAGCGCTGGTTTGCCCGTGTGATCAGTTGCCTCAGGACAAGCTGGCAGTAGCAACAGGCGTTCCAGCTCCTCTGCGTCGTTCGCAGCACATGCAAGCACCAGCTTCTGGCTACTCCAATCGTCAAGCGGCAAAGAGGTCCGCACAACCAGCCTTGAGCCACATGAATGGCCCAAAAATTATCAAACGTGCATGCTCAGCCATGACTCAGCCATGACTAGTGGGCCATTTTCAGGATGCAATGTAGCTAAGAGTGACACCATCCCCACCCTTCTGCCTCCCGCTAAATGATGGCGTAGACTCTCTGGCGGTTAAAGGCAAATAGCCCCCTAGAATCTCTACATCCCAAGAAAAAAAGCGACTGCTGGACATGGAACGCCTGAGACCGTTTAATTTCTTTGTTAGCCGCTGCTATATACATGAAGGCATCTATGCTCCATTGCTCTAAGTTCGTGAGTTAGAAACAGCACAATTTTTACTGAGCGAGAAACTGTATCGTTGCTGGAAGTTCCAGGACATCCTCATCGTGCAACTCCGTGAGATCTTCATTGAACCATTGTTGTCGGAACCGTGACAGTCCAACCTCCGCTGAGTCAGCGGTCGACAACTTCCTGTCTCGAAGAAAAGACACATGCAGAACGTCTTTAACAGTCTGAGATTGGGGGTGCAAGAGGACGTGTGAACCATTGGCAGAGTTCTTGGGCAGTCCAAGTTGGTAGCTTGATCTATCTTGATCTGAATCCCGGATCGCCGGATCATAGATCACTTCAATTTGAACCTCCGCATGTGTGGACATGGCTGTGGCTCAAAATAAGACCCACCAAACAAAACAGTGGTTTTAGTCCGTTTACGTCACGATGTTGCACGGGCGGGTTGGATGGCATGCTATGTTTGAGCAACATGGAACCAAGCCCTGACCTGGAAAGTCAAGGATAGGAGGGGCCGTCAATTCACTGTGGCAAATGAAGGTGCTTCTCCTGCTTCATCAGGCTTTAGGTGGTGCAAAGCAGTGGAAGCCCCCTCATATGGTGGGTCAATGCCAACAAGAGATAAGTAGGTTGGAGGCCATCGCTTCTAGGTTGGAGGCTATCGCAAGTAGGTTGGAGGCCATCGCAATTAGGTCCACACGTGGCTTGAGAGACATACCAAAGCCACTGAAGCCTCAAATTCAACATGTGTATCTATCTATCTATCTATCTATGTTATGCCATGTCATGTTGTGTTGTATTGTGTTGTGTTATGTTATTTTATGCTATATATTTAATATATATAATTATATACATATAGAGAGAGGGAGTCTTCCTAGAAGTTGGCAAATCACAAGGTGCATTTATACATGATACAATATAATTACATGTTATACCATCTTATATTAGGTGCAAAACCATGTAGGCCGGTTGAGTCATCAAACACTGTGAGATGCCCAAGAGAATCAAACCACTTGTGCGTCTTGACGAATTCTGATCTGCAAAGATGCCAACATCTGGACTCAGATGCGACTCATTATTGCAAATTCAAACGACTAGCTAAATCAAAACTGCACCATTCCAGTTCGCCCGACCAAAGCAGTGGGTAATTTGTCTTGTGGAAGTCGCCCGTCTGGATCCGAACTCTTCACCTCCCGGCCATTTCTTTGCACTCCGTGGCTTCAGGTGTTCATCCTTTTTCTGCGGGATCCGCCTGCGGGGCTGAGAGCTTCTTCAACGACTTCACAGAGCAGCTGGCGAGGTGCTCGGAACCCTCCGGCCAAGTGAGGCTGGCGAGCTCAGCACCGGAGACAGCGGAGCACAGGCGGAGCATGGGCAAAGCATGTGAGCCGCTTGCGCGAGCCGTTGCTTGTGGTGGAAGAGCTCAAGGAACTGCTCCCGTGGAAGGGGGTTCAAGTGGTTTCTTGATTCTTTTAAAATGACCGGGTATGGCCTGGCCACCTCAAAGTTGTATTTGGAGGCCTGCAAAGACTCCAAGAACTGAGTCTTATAGCTAATGCCAACATAACATATACTATATTTTTTATATTCCAACATCACACAACAATTACAACCTTCTGCCTGGAAAAACCTAAACAACACACTGTGTAGTATGTTTCAGGTGCTTTCATCCCTTCTGGCTTTTTCTTTCTACTGCCTGTCATGTCTCCTGTGATACATCTCGTTTGACTGGACCAGTGGAAGCTCCTGGGCCAGTGAATTCTGAGCAATCAAAATGACACGGAAACGGACTCAACGACCTGGACGACCCCTGGGGGCAATTCGTACGAAGGTCATGGATGAAGTCGTACCTGCTCTCCTAGGTTGGAGGCCATCGCTCTCAGGGTACTTTGTGGTTCTTTGTCACGAGTCCGCGTAGTTCGGAAGACGGCATGTCGTCTTCATGTCCTCCAAAAGGATGCGCCAAATGCACTAAATGGCTGAAGGTCCTTCAACGAACTAGATCTTGTACAACCATTTTGGTAGTCACAAAACGGTGAGATTCATGAACAACTATCAATTATTCATTCTTCGGCAGCCGGACCCAAACTCCTGACATCTTTAGAACTCACTTCCCTACGACCCTACGAGCCCCAATTCAAATCTCAAAACCACCTCCCCTCCCAGGTGGTCCCGTCTGAAGAGGCCCAACTGACAGACGGACCTATAGAGTTGGGTGTTGTTTAAAGGAATTTGATACACCCAACAATCATTTCAACAGGGTACCTTGAAAGGCTACGGCCTTCAAAAACCAACCTTCAACGGCTCTGCCTTTTCGGGTTCTTCAAGAGGATGGTCTGCAGGAAACCTGCATATTCCATATTATGTTCATTTATGTTCCGTACCCAACATTACCCAACTAGAGGTTTTCCATGGATTTCCTATAGTTTCCCCTAAAAGAGGCCCACCCAGTCCACACGTATCTGAGTGACGATCATGAAAAGATCCGACCGGCAATAGATCTGCACTCCCTGAAACAAGAATGGCAGTGGATGGCATGGCCCTTTTTGTCGGATCGATCATTTTCCGAATACCAGGTGGTGCCATCCACCATGGAACGTGACATGGAGTGGTTCTCACTGGGCCAAGAATCTGTTTTGTCGCCCGTGAGCATCCACACCTTCATTCCAGCCTGCCGAGCAGGCGCCATTACAAACGCAGGAAACTTTGAGAACTGGATATTGGACGCATCAGGAGAACATGATCTTATCACAGGTGAGAGTTATACATGTTCGTATATTAAAATATTATATCAGAAAGAAATACAATGCTTGAAAGGAGGCTCCGGCATGCTCCGGCTTCCCCTCCAAAGTGAATACCAAACGAAAAAGCCGTGGAGGACCGAAGCCGGAGGCGTTTTGGGGCGGGTGCTGAACATGTTGCGTTTGATGCACCATGGTTCACTTATTATTGTACCGCAACATGTTGTTTGTGTGTCGATGTTCCAACCTGACATCACTCCAACGCTTTGCTCAGACTTGATTTCGTTCGTATAGTATAGGGGAAACATATTCCAAGGGGCCATGCCATCCACTTCCATGTTAGTTCCAGGGAGTGTAAGTTCTGCAGCAATAAGCCAACTCATAAGGCCTCAGTCAGGGAGGTATGACCTAGCCGGAACCCCTCTCATGAGCGCCGGAGTAGTAGTGACACTTCCCTGTGTGTTGGAGCTCTAGTTCATGAGACCTCCCAGTACATTCTCAAACAAACTGCTTGGTAGAGGAAGTCCTCAGGTGGTACAAGCATCTCTGTAGCCATGGTGACCTAATGATGTTCCCATCTCTGTGGTCCAGAGCCAGCAACATCTCTATAAGCCTGATCCTCTAGTTACAGCTCCGCTCAGCATAGAGCTATCTCGCTCTGGGTCATTCCCACCACTCCGCGTCCGTCGGTGGCTTGCTGTTTCTGTGCCTCAGAAACATCTTGGTCCAGAAGTTGATGTTCTTAATCGGGAAAGAAGACAAACTGCTGCGCAGCAGCTGGAAGTTTCTGTGCCTCCGTCATCTTCATGATGGTGTCTGAGACCTCATCTTGTAGGCGATCTTCGATGCCAGTGATGCCGTTCATGACCTCGAAGGCAGTATCTGCTCACTGGCATGGTCCTTTTGGGGGTCACCGAAAGGGGGTGCTGTTGCGAAGCTCAGCAAAAGCCATGACCTATAAACATACTCAACAAACATGTGTGACGCCTGATGAGTTTTGGAGCTCCATGGCATCTTAGGGTAAGTACACGTGCTTTTTCGCGTGGAGATGGGTCGCCGTTCAAGTCGATCAATTCGACTAGTTGTTGATTCTTACCACAGAAGCCTCCAATAACGCTTCATCGCCAACATCAGCCACCGAACTCGGCACCGGTGCCTCGGTGCCGAACTGGGGGGGCCTTGTTCTCTGCGTCCCACTCCAAGAGACCGTCGTCCGGCGAGGGACTGTATTGACCCCTGGTTTCTTCGATCTGAAACCACCCCATACCACCCCAACTGATGGGACAATCGGTCAGTCTCGCCGTGTCTGGCGAGACTGATTCTCACTCGTGCACCCTGAGGCTACGACCAGGTTCACCTGCGGAGTGCATCGAGTTTGTTCTGAAGGTGGGTGCAGAAGGCATGGTCTTCCCGGTGGTTTGAGTTTTTGAACTGACCCCCGAGTGGCCACATTCTTATGCTTTTAAAACATCGTAGGACTCTTTTTGCGGGGTGCACCATGGGGAAGGGATCAAAGTAGATCAAGGATCATGCATCTACGAATGGTCTCTTGCTTGTAGGTCACGTCCCGGTGCGATCCGGTTTTTCGGGCGAAGTGCTTGTGAACTTGGTGGTTTGGTTCATTACTATCAGCCTGGCACCTATACTGCTGAAAGGCAAAACATGCACCAGTCAGCTGGGATGCTCTTTCTATTTCCATATATTTCCATCTTCTGGTGAAGATTTATTCCAGAGTGGACACTGCGGGAAACTGCTCGCCCATACCAGTCCTGTGACTCGGAGAAATTCCCACGGCTCAGTTCTCGCGGAGGGCCTAGAGTTGTAGAATGTTGTAGATCTACTTGTGAAGGAAACGTATGAGAGGAAGGTGCTTACAGCCTTACGACTCATGACCAGCATTGTGGCGAGCAAGTTATTGCAGGGAGAGCGAAATGAAAACCAACACGTCCTATAAAGTTGAACATCGCAAAACACATCGAACATCCGCACACGCTCCTTCACCCGCAAAAAAAAACAGTCCAGCCAGTCCAGCGGAAGAGTCGATCGTCCCTCATCACCGAGTAGTCTTCTTCCGCGGCACCGCCGACGAAGCGCCGAACCTCCAAGGAGTCGGACACGGCATCCATCTTCTCTTCCCGTTTGTTCGTCGCCAACGACGCCTGGAAGGTCGGACTCCGCAGTCGGACCACGCCCACGCGGGAAGTGGCGTGAACAACACGGGTCGGGCGAAATGGACACTTGGGAGAACTGAGCCGTTGCTGAGAGGGGGACGTGGAGGGACTTTCTGGGTGTATTTGTAGTAGATATAATATACCTGCATCTTCATTGGACAAAAAAAATGCGCACTTGATTTTGGAGGAGATTTCCATGCACTCTAAATTGTGCAATTCTGTGAGCATGGTCGTGTCTTGAAACACACAAGAAGGCCCTGCTTGTCACTTTCCCCGGAGCCTGGGCTGCCAGCTCAACTTCCGGATCTCCCACTTCACTTTGATACGGATCCGGTCTAGCACTCTGTGGCTTGCAGGTCTTGATTTCACTCTCTGACATATCCTGCTACATGTCCCACCACAGATTCACTCACAGATTCATAAGCTTTGTAACTGTGGGCCAGTGGACGGGGAAAGATGTGTATTGGACGGGAAAAACGTGTATAGGATGGGAAAAGACGTGCATTTGACGGGAATTTCCGGGTAGAACAAATTTGTCACGCGGGGCTTCTTTTTCAACAAAAGCCCCACGCTGCCGGTTTGACAAGCTCTAAATCTCTTGAGGAAGCAGCGTCTGGGATGGACAAAGGTATCGCACTACTTCTGACATAGCTACATGTCACCGTATGACAGGCTTTGGAAGTGGGAAAATGCCACCCAATACATCCAAAATGGCTACAATCAAAAAAAATGCATTTCAACGGACTTTTGTTTTTTTTCCCTGAAAGACGTGTAGTGCACAGGAGTTTCTGAATGCACCATTGCACCATTATTTTTGATCATTTGAGGTTGCAGGTATTATAAGGTAAGGTGGCTCGATTTGTCAACGACCAGCGCTGCGAT